AACGTGAAATTTTGCTAATTTTCATAGGTTTAGGATGAAAGTTAATGAAATTATATTTCAATAAAGTAAATTAGTTACCATTCAATAAATTTAGAAAAAAATATCCGGAAAAAATTATATGGAAATCGGTTTTTATTGACTTTTTATGATTTTTGGCCTGGTGGACCTTTTGGAGGAACTGCCCATATACATATTATTAAAAAAAAAATTAGCCTAAAAACATTTTTAATGCGTTCCTTTTTACTTAATTAGTTAGGATATATATCAATTTTTTCTCAGCTCCCCATGATATTTTCATTATTTAACTTTGAGTTTTATATTTGAGCGAAAAAATAAAACTCAAAGTTTAATCATTATTTTTTTGTTTTCTTTTTTTCACTCAAACATAATTATTATGGATAATAATTAATAATAACTTATAAAAATAATTATTATCAATAATAATTATCCTAAAAACTGAAAATTTTTTAAAATTTTGTTGGATTTGCATAGTTAATTCTTAGAGCAGTCTATTGGTCTATTTAATTCTTCTGTGCGGCTTTTTTAAGTTGCTGTTTTTTTTTGAGAAAAAAATAAAAAATAATCATTATTTACGGTCCCTGCTTTTTTCGCCCTTTTTCTTATTCCCCACGCATTGACACTTGGCTCTGTTAAGCGAATGTCATTTTAATGTCAGGTGCCATTACAAAGGCCTTTCCATTGTCGTCGCGAAATAAACCATCAAAAACTAAACGGAGTTTTCGACCAAACACAGGGTGGTGTGGCATGTAGAAATTCCGCCCAGCAGTGATTTCCTTTGACGGCAGTTCTCGCATGTGTCCCAAAGATTGATATTCTCGCATGAAATTGATGTATTGGATTCGTAGCGGCTCATTGTGTTGTAAGCGCCGTTCCGCTGATTTGAAACGGTTGAGAGCTCCTTGTAGAGTGTCTCCAAATTCAGGATGTGCACTGTTGAATGGAAGCTCCACGGAGTACTTCCCCCTTTCATCTCGAGTGGGTGTGGAGAGAAAGTGTTTCTCGACCTGTTCATCTTCGGGTTCCAGTTTAGTAGTACAGTCGACGCTCTCCAGCTCCCATCCGTGATGTGACCTCTGCCACTGAAGTTGGTTCAGCCCGTTCAACCCAAACCAAAGCGCGTGTGATAATGGCCTTGAGTCTGCCACGGCTCTTTACCAATGCCCTTAATTGTTCCATTGTTAAAAATTATCAAATGAATACCGAAGCACACCAAAACTGTACAAGCATCCGTCTCGAATGACCAAAAAAATCATGGAATACTCCCTTTTGAGTAACTTGATATTATTGGACTGTACTTATTTTTATTTCTTGTTCGGTTTGCTGTATTTTCGGTACTGAATAATGCCGGCGCAGCGGCAAGCGAATAAAGAAGTTTTTAGTCTCTTCTTCATTCTATCCTAATTTCGTTTCTTCTTTGAGATGGACTTAAATATAATGATGACAAAGTTATAATATGGGATGCATTCCTCAACAAAAAGGTTTTATGTTTCTCTTTCCAACAACAAATACGAATCTTAAGACTCCGGTGGACAATTGAGACTCCTTTTCGCAGGCGGCAGCCAAATCTTTATTAATTGCGCTATCTTCCTCCAGATCAACTCCAATTCTATTCCAGATCACCTTTTCTTATGTATATCCAAACGCAATTAATAATTTTTATTTTATTTCCCTTTATTTCCATTTGTTTAATTTATTTTCATTGCACACGACTTGTCACGGTAAAGAACAGAAAAAGATTAGGCCGACGATTCATTGCGTCATATACATACAAGTTTGCGTTTTTGCCAGATCGATTGACTTTTCTTTAAGTTTTTCACAACAAACTATCACTCAAAAACATTGAAATGACGAGCATATTATGTTAATAAATAAATGCCTTCGTCAATTATATTAATAAACACTTAGCACAAATTATTACTCAAAAACATTTAAATGACGAGCATATTATGTTAATAAACGAAAAAGTGAAACCCTTTCTCAAATATATTAATACACACTTGCCGAAGTGTAATCTGACACCTCGCTGCAATTCGGCAATATCGGTTATATTGCATCTATATGTAATAGTGCCCCAAATGATATGAAACTTCGTGGGTCATCTTAAGACCGCAAAATATGTACACAAACCAAAACCTTCAATAGCTTAATAAAAAAAAAAGTTGGGGCTAGTCGGACAGATCGGTTATATGGCAGCTGTATGGAATAGTGCTCCAAATCAAATGAAACTTTGTAGGTCATCTTGGGAATGTCAAATTTTAGCACAATCCAAATTTCAATTCAATGGCTTTAAATTTAGAGTTTATGCCATAAAAACGATCAAAAAAACCACTGCGCAATGGAAGACGCCTATTTCTACAAGCTACAAAGAATAGACATGCTGATTGGAACTGAATAATTTTATTAATGCACATATACACAAAAAATATAAGAACACATGATATAATTTTTTTTTTTAAACTTTCGGATGAGCCGTTTCAACTTATAGTGTGAAGAAGAGATTTGAGGCCTTGAGATTGTACAATAGTCTGGGCCAAAAAAATTTTTTTTTTCGAAGTTCAAACGGGTTACCCTTTAGTTTTTTTTCTTTGTAGATTGTATATGTACCATTTATATTCTACATCTCCTCCTCCGCGCACTGAACGCGGCAGAGTGTGCGAGCGAGAAAGAGAATGAGTAGCGGGTCTCTGGCTGAAGTAGGCGGGGGAACCAACAGAAAATTAATTTCTTCATTCTGGCTATAATTATGAACCGATCTGATCAGATTCGGCAATCTGGTAGATATGGGCATTCTCTACGATACTGCGTTTTTAATTTTATCGTATCTTTAAAATTGTGCATGCCATAGATTTTCGATCTTTGTGTGGGAGGAAGGGGGCGGGGCGAATTTTTGAAATACACTTGTAGCAGTGTGATATCACATCGACTTGGCTATATCGACATTTCTATATCTTCATGGCTATATCGAATCGGCTATTGATGCTGATCAAAAGTATATATATACTTTATGGGGTTGTATAAGCTTAACTTATGGGACTGGACCAGCCTCCTTTTTGGCAAACCCGGTGTTTAAATAGTTGAGTGAATCTGTAAAGCTTTCATTGCCTAAAGCTGCTGACGTTATTGGGTCCTACTTTAACGTTGATACATGTTGACTGGTGCTGTATGCGTAGGGGGCTAAGGACAGTTAGGTCCGAAGTATCTATGGTTCGTCAGACCGCAGGTCATGAGTTGAACAAGTGGTTTTCGAACTCACCTGAGATCAGCGCATCTGAGAGCACGGCCTAGCCCATAGCGATCTCGGATCCAGAACCGACTGAGGCGCTCATGGTTGCCTAATGAAAACGCCTTTCATTTTAAGAAGTGACAATGCAGTCATGGGTCTCCGAGCGACAAAATGGAACATATTATCGGTGACATCGAAGTTGACGACCCCATTGGATTGTTAAGTCCCGTAAGCTATGTGCCGCTCACCTTCTAGCGGATCTCTGTCACAGTTTCAAGCCTCCTTTTCACCGAGCTAGCTGAGGGAACTTACAACAATACAACGAGCCAAATATTAACTCAACTTGCTTTGGTGGCTTCACTGGGATATGCTTTCGTACAAGCCGCACAGCTCCACCTGGCACAATTGTGGTTCTATCAAGTCAGGATTTCTGCACTTTTTTGCAATTTATTTATGAAGCAGTCTGCAGTGCGTCAATTTTACGCGTCTATGTGTTATTAAAACATTTACAAAATTCCTTGGGCGATTAATTTAGCTATGCATTTTCTTGGATCCCACCATAGTGAAGACTCCTATCATTTTAATTTCGAAGTGTCGGTCGATATTGGATCAACTCTATTGCGTAATAACCTTTTTTATTTTATTTTATTTTATTTATATTGGTCCGTTTCAGTAAAGCATTCGACTGTGTAAACCACTCCCTTCTAGCACAAAAGCTTGCCCTTTTAAGGTTTCCACCCAATAAATTTCTAGCTATCTTTGTTCAAGTTCTTAAAGAGTTCTCTTCAAAAACTTCTTTTCACCTGTTGAGGTTACTTCTGGAGTACCACAAGGCAGTCATCTTGACCCTTACTCTTTATTATTGCCTTATTATTGAAAACTAATATACTGATGACCCCTATATAACGAAGACTCTCTATATCTCTGTAGTTCCTTCAACTTTAGTATATGGCTCTTGTGTAGGACCGTATAAAATCAGAATTTTCCTTTCTTTTTATACCCGTACTCGAAGAGTTAAGGGGTATATTCGATTTTGGGCAAAGTGGATGTGTGCAACGCACAGAAGGAAATATTTCAAAATACAAGAAAAAGCAGTATCGTAGAGAATGACTATATCTACAAGATTGCCAAATCTGGTTCAGATCGGATCGTTATTATAGCCAGCATAAAGAAATTAATTTTCTGTTGCTTCACCCACCTCCTCAAGCGATGATGAAGCTACTTATACTTACACTCTGCCCTGTGCAATGCGCGACCTTTGCAGAGAAGATATATAATCTACATTGCGTATGTAGAATGTAAATGTAAAATATTAAAAAATTCAACATAAATCATAAGCTCATAAATTCATATACTGACTGAGTACGGGTATTAAATTTTAGTCCCGTCCATAGAAGCGACTCACACATTCCTTCTCGTTTTCTTTTCGGATTGCTTGGCCCCTAGAGGGATGAAGGTGTGAGATTGTCATCATACTTTAATAGATTTCTCGTAGAAAATTGCTTGGAGCGATTTTTATGCAGAATCTGATCAAGTTTGACGTAGATAGCCATGTCAAGCTTTGGTATTCGAAATTTTCCTCGGATCACAAGCCTCGGAACAGGCTTCGGCTTGGTGTCGCATGGGTTCCTTCATGATGCAGTCATTGCATTTCAACGTCTGAATAATAATTAAAATAAAAATGTACATTATATCGTAAGAATTTCAAAAATATTCATATTTGTATCTCCTTTGTGCATTTTTGTATCTATTTCAGTAAACTGCTCCTAAAGGAAACACATGCGTGTTTTTACCCATACTACTCGTCGTCCAATATAGATCGCCTTGTTTCTTCACGATACTGCCACACACAATCTAAGGAAGAAATGTCTCAGAGGAAAGTATTGAATCCATCATTAATTTTTACGTCTTTGATATGATATAGTATAAACTGTTCTACGAGTTTAAATACTATAAATAGAGAGAAAGAGCCTTGGAAACCTCTTCGTCTTAAACTTGACGCTAACCGTCACGGATACGCGTGTATTCGTACAGATGTATGTAACACACAGAATGGAGCGTTTCCGACCCCATTAAGTATCTACTATATACACAAATATTTGTAGTCGCCCGATTCACAGTTTCTTTGCGATATTTTTTTAGAATATTTTCAAATGCAACCCAAAATAATTTACATTCACATCGAAAAAATTAGATTCACCAAAAAATGTAAACAATGACTGACAAGAAGTAATGAAAAAAAAAACAGTGCCCAGAAGTCGTTTTAGTTTGTATACCCGTGCCCATATATTCGATTTGTGTTTGAATTGGATATGTGTACAGCAGAAGAGAAAATGCATCAATAGCCGTCACTCCGTCTGCCTTGTTTGACGCCTAGCTCTCAGAGACTATAAGAGCTAGAGCAACCAGACTTATGTCATATCACACTGTTTCAAAATTTTGCCAAGCTCCTTCCACTTACACAAAGAATGAAAATCTGTAGCATCCAAAGTTTTCAAGATACAAAAAAAACAAAAACCCAATATTGTAGAGAATGACCATATCTATTTTATATTTATATACTGACTGAGTACGGGTATAAGTAGAGTCGCGTCCCCAGAAGCGACTCGCACGTTCCTTCTCGTTTTTTTTTTTATTTTGACTTAAGAAACTCAGGAAAATTCGAAAAAAATTATATCCTGTGTCCTTATATTTTGTTGTATAGGTGAATAAATAAAGCATCGTTTAAAGCAGCGATGCCCAGGCCCATTGCCCTGCGATCCCTTTTGTTTTTGTAATTGCCCTCAGCATAGGAAACATAACATAGCTTACGAAAATTCTTGTATGAATACACAGTTTGTGCTGTGTACCAGCATACCGAAAGCCCAAGACATGCAAACATCTTTGTGTGTATGCGATCCGTCCAGCAAAAACCGGTTACCCGACTTTTGTTATGCTTTTGTTGTTGTCTTTTCTTCGAGTTTGCACTTTTCCCTTAATGGTATTTGTATTTTTTATTGTGAATATTGGTGGTGCTCCGCCGTAAGCTGATTTTGGGCACCGTGGCTTAAAGTATTGTTCTTTAAAATTTATGGCGACAACCCTCCCAAAAATTACATTTTACCGCTTGAAACGTAGCTGGCTCAACGTTTTTGGCCCTTTCATAATTTTTACTCAAAATCTGAAGTTCATATATCAACAATAAATATAACGTTAACAATAAAATTCTTCCACCCTTCACAAGATTTTTGATTCGTGGTGATAGAATAGATATACATGAAGGTATTGCGAATCAAAGTTGAAGGTTTCAAGCATTTTTACAGATTCTGCAAATTTGACCTCTTAAAAAAATTTTTGCTAAGGTATTGTTTTATTTTCAGACATTAACTTTTTAGCGGCATTATATTCTTGACAAAATAAGCTACTGTTAAGCTATAAGCGTTTTTAATAGCAATTTCTGGCTTAATTTTAATAAAAAAGGGCCGAGAAGATTTAATAAAAATAATAGTTTATTGGCATGTAGTAGAGGCAGTTCGCGTATGTATATTATTGGTACAAGTATAGAGACCGAAGTTTACGAAGATCAATATCAGACTAAATGGCAGCGCAAAATGGGCCGACTGCCCGTGCCCTATACATAACTTCTTAACGAGAGCGTGAGAGAATTATGGCGTAGCTTGTGAGGGTCCTATTTCAGGCTGAGGTAAGCATCAGTCTGTCCAGGGTCCGCTACAAGAAAATTTGTAGATTGTAGGTGACTTCAGGTGTCGGGCTGGCTTGAAAACTGCAGTAGGCAAGCGAAAAATGATGATGCGAGAGTTTTTTTTTGTTCTTGGATTATTCAATATTTATTCATTCACTTAATTCTTTTACGTTGCTACTCTGGCTTGTAGTTGTATGGTGCGCTGGTGGACTGCGTTGTGCAGTGTCTTGTGTTTGGGCTGAGGGACTGCCTAGTGCAGTGTCTTGGGTGTGTGACTGAGGGACTGCCTTGTGCAGTGTCTTGTGTTTGGGCTGATGGACTGCCTGTATCTTGTATTCGGGCTGATGGACTGCCTAGTGCAGTGTCTTGTGTTCGGGCTGATGGACTGCCTGCTCTTTCAGCCGATCTTGGCCCTTTTATGCAGCTGGCGATCGCACCTGAGACCCGGAAATAATTAATTCTTGCTGACTTAAGGTTATTGGATAACAATAATTGTGGAGCGCGGTAAGTGGGTCGAAGCTTTGTGCTTCGTTGACAATTGTTAGTGGGTCAGGGTGGTTTTGCTGAGGCTGCATCCCGGAAGGTGCGGGCTGCAGTTGGGAAAGGTGATATCTGAATTTGGGTCGGTAGGTCGATAATTTTATGCTAGCTTGACTTATTGTGAAATAACGCCAATGATATCTCTTATTGCGAAATTGTGTCGGCTTGGCTTATTGCGACATTGTAGGCTGCTGATTTCACAATTGTCTCAAGAGGTGGGGTGTTGTTGATCGAGAGTTCTTAATTAATTGTGTGCTTAAGACTATTTTATTTCCGGGGTGCTGACACACCGCTATTTGTGGAGAACCGTGGCTAGAGCCATCCCGCCAGCGTGGATGCGCTGACCCTCCGCCGTTTGTGACGAGCCATGGCTAGAACCATGGTTCGTTACACCCCCCCTTTCTTCCGGGTGGGTGATGGAGAGATTAGTGGCGTCGCTTGGCGGGTGCTGAGGTTCGCCTTTTTCCTGTCCTTTGGCTTGTGCCGAGTCTCCGGATTCGTCGCTTTTAATCTCGTCACTTTAGCGTGGCGTCGGTAACGTTATATTTTCTACTGCTGCTGTGATCGTGGCTTTTCTGCTGTTCTGGGTGCTTTGTAGTTGGTGTCTGCTTGGTGGGTCGATTATCCCATATGACGATGGTTTTCTCGGCGGTCTTCTTCGGTCGTTCTTTGTCCAGGCATTCTTGAATCGGCGGTGCTATGTCGGGTGGCCAAGGATCCGTCGGTAGTTCTGGGTCGTCTTCGGTGGGTTCGGTGGTTCCGGGGTCAAACGTTTGATTCGGGTCTTTCGGTAGGATGGGTCTGTCGAATGTAAATGCTTGGATCTGCGGGGCCAAATCCGGCGGCCACGGCTCCGGGACTGGTTCGGGCTCATGTCCGGTTGGATCGGCGGCTTCGGAGTCAAATGGCTGGCTGGGGTCTTCGGGTAAGAGGGTTGTGTCGAAGGCGCTGGGCGTTTCGATCCTCCGTTGGTAGTCGCTTATGTGGGCGACGATGGGTGTGGCGTTGGCCGTGGGTAGATATGTTTCATATCTCTGATGCAATACTTGGGTGGTATTGGCGGTCGTTTGGCTCATGAACAGGTGAGTCTCGGTGATTCCTCTTGTTTTGGACCAACAGCTGGTACGGGCGACGAAGATCTCGGACCTGGCTCTAGGCATGGCTCGGTGCATGGCGCTAGCAGTCAAGTCGGTACGCGGAAGGTACTCCATTGTGTTGGCGAGGATCGGTGTGGCGTCGGCCGTCGGTACGACAGGGCGGCGGTGGGTGCATCGTGGGGGTATCGTCCTGGTTTCCGGGCCCGCGTTGAGGGGCTCTGTGGATATCAGTTCAATTATGGGCCCCGACCAGCGTGGGGTTAGCGTGGCTGTTTCCCGTGTTGCTGGGCTGTCGGATGGTGGTTGCCGTTGTCCTTTTTCGATGCTGATGGTCGGTTTTAAGGGTGTCCGTGCGTTCAATTCTTCCGTTGTGGATTCTGTGCGTGCTTGCTCTGTTGCTTGTCTTGGACCTGGGCTTCCTGTGTCGAGCGCCGGGTTCAAGTGTGTTTGTCTCGTGTGTGAGATCCTCGTGGTTTGTTTGGGGTATGTGTCCCCTGTGGTTGGCCTCGGACGCGGTTGCTCCGTAGTGACCGTGGGACTCGTTTTCCTGATTGCTTGATTGCGGTTTGCTGGTGTTGACCTTGGATTCGTGTTCTCCGTAGTATGCCTTTGCTTCGTATTCGTTGCGATTGGTTTGGGTGTCAAGTGCTGCGTTGCGTTATTGGGTGCCGTGTGCGTTGTGGTAGGTCGGGGGCGTAGGTTCGTTGCGATTTGTTGGGGTTTCTGGTATCGGGGTTCGGCGTCTTGTACGTGGATGGTAGTAAGCACGGGTTCAGTGGGCATGGTGTGACGGTCTCGTAGCTGTAGCAGCGTGGAGCCGCATTGGATCGTCGTTTCGGTGGCACCTAGGAAGTCCATGCCGACAATAACTTGTCCCAACATGTTTGGCAGGACCAGGAGCGGGATTTGAACCTCTCGTTGATCCAGCTTGATGTGCGCCAGTAGAACTTGTGAGATCTCTCTGACCGAGCCATCGGCCAGGCGTATGCGGACGCATGCATCTTGCAGGTTGGTGTTGTTGTTTAGTTTTCGGGCGAGGTTTGCTCTGATAAAGCTTCTGGATGCCCCGGTGTCGATTGTGGCTTCCGTTGCGTGTCTTCCTATGGTCACCATCGCCACTATCCGGCCGTTGCTTACGTGTAGAGAGTTATTTAGTCGCGGGTTGGAGGAGGCGTCGTTCCCGGCTGATCCCGTGTCAGTTGGGGACGCATGTCGTTTCCCGACGTGTTTTGGCGGCAGCAATTTACGGTCCGTGTGCCGCGTTTGCCACATTCCCAGCAGAATAGGATGGAGGGATTATGGCAGTCGTATGCCGCATGCCCCGCTTCACCACACCGGCGACAGGCTGCGCGTGGGTTGATGATGGGGGTCGTGATCATGTGATGGGCTACTTCGGGATTCGCCGTACTGTTTGGATGAGCTGGTGGTCTCCCTGGTGTGTCTGTCGTGTCTGGGGACTCAGAAATGGCGTCTGGTGCGAGTCGCAATTCCTCTGCTTTGTGGCCGACCTTGCGTATCTTGGCGTGTTACGCGGGGGTGCGAAAGTGGTCGGGATGG